TCCCATCATTACTTCCCCTTAATTCTAAAAAGAGTCCAAAATTGCATGATCAACATTCATCCATTTTGATGGTGCAATCTTGTCTGCTTGGCAGGCTACCAATGGGCAGCTGATGGGTTATATAAGATCTATTGGGGGGGGGGGGCATTCTCCCTCCTGTGAGGCAGAAGATTTTTCTTTTTATTCTGATCTTTCTTCTACACTATCTTCCCATCTGACTGAACAGTATTAGATACAGAAGCCGTGTGACTTGAATGTGTACCATGAACAAAGTATCACAGGAAAGACAGAAAATAAACCAAGCGTTAAATCAAAACCACGAGAATAAAAGCATTAATGAAGGTTTTCTTTTTCCCAGATTAAAAAGCTATTCTGACAATATTTCATGATAAATGCAATGGATGCTTTTAACTATACACTTTAGGTAATTTTTGTGCTAATTAATTTTATATTTAAGTATAAGAACATTTGCTACCTAAATCGATCCATCTTCAGATCACTGCCTGAGCTAATCAATTGTTGAAATTGATCAAAACTTTCTGTATCTTATAAATGGCATATAATACTTTCCCCCAGCTTTTGGGGCACCAGAGGCCAGTTTCATGGAGAATGAACAGATTGGAGGGGGCTTGGTTTCGCATGCTGCCTGCATCCCACGGATGGGGCTTCACTTGTTTGCATGGCCAGGTTTCTGGCATGCTGCAGACCAGTGCCAGTACATGGACTGGGGGGTTGGGGGCCCCTGGCAAATACTACCTAATAATGTAAATTAAACCATACAGAAAGAATTCATTGTAGGAAAGCTGGTTTCTAGCATCTATCAGCGTTCCCTGACTGCCATTATATGCATAATTAAATTTACACTGCATTATAATGGCCTAAGTCAGAACAAAACATGTGTGGGAACTCAGATCTTTACTTTGGTTGATTTCCCCAGCAGACACCTGCAGAAGAGCTATTGGGATTCATGAAAGAACATACACTGCTCAAAAAAATAAAGGGAACACAAAAATAAGACATCCTAGATCTGAATTAATGAAGTATTCTTATTAAATACTTCGTTCATTACATAGTTGAATGTGCTGACAACAAAATCACACAAAAATTATCAATGGAAATCAAATTTAGCAACCCATGGAGGTCTGGATTTGGAGTTACACTCAAAATTTAAGTGGAAAAAAACACTACAGACTGATCCAACTTTGATGTACTGCCCTTAAAACAAGTCAAAATGAGGCTCAGTAGTGTGTGTGGCCTCCACGTGCCTGTATGCCCTCCCTACAACACCTGGGCATGCTCCTGATGAGGTGGCAGATGGTCTCCTGAGGGATCTCCTCACACACCTGGACTAAAGCATGCCCCAACTCCTGGACAGTCTGTGGTGCAATGTGGCATTCGTGGATGGAGCGAGACATGATGTCCCAGATGTGCTCAATTCGATTCAGGTCTGGGGAACGGGCGGGCCAGTCCATAGCATCAATGCCTTCATCTTGCAGGAACTGCTGACACACTCCAGCCACATGAGGTCTAGCATTGTCATGCATTAGGAGGAACCCAGGGCCAACTGCACCAGCATATGGTCTCACAAGGGGTCTGAGGATCTCATCTTGGTACCTAATGGCACTCAGGCTACCTCTGGCGAGCACATGGAGGGCTGTGCGGCCCCCTAAAGAAATGCCACCCCACACTTTTACTGACTCACTGTCAAACCGGTCATGCTGGAGGATGTTGCAGGCAGCAGAATGTTCTCCACGGTGTCTCCAGACCCTGTCACATCTGTCACATGTGCTCAGTGTGAACCTGCTTTCATCTGTGAAGAGCACAGGGAGCCAGTGGCGAAATTGCCAATCTTGGTGGTCTCTGGCAAATGCCAAACGTCCTGCTGTAAGCACACCCCCCACCTGTGGATGTCAGGCCCTCATACCACCCTCATGGAGTCTGTTTCTGACCGTTTGAGCAGCCACATGCACATTTGTGGCCCACTGGAGGTCATTTTGCAGGGCTCTGGCAGTGCTCCTCCTGTCCCTCCTTGCACAAAGGCAGAGGTAGCGGTCCTAATCCTGGGTTGTTGCCCTCCTACGGCCTCCTCCACGACTCCTGATGTACTGGCCTGTCTCCTGGTAGTGCCTCCATGCTCTGGACACTACGTTGACAGACACAACAAACCTTCTTACCACAGCTCGCATTGATGTGCCATCCTGGATGAGCTGCGCTACCTGAGCCACTTGTGTGGGTTGTAGACTCCGTCTCATGCTACCACTAGAGTGAAAGCACTGCCAGCATTCAAAAGTGACCAAACCATCAGCCAGAAAGCATAGGAACCGAGAAGTGGTCTGTGGTCACCACCTGCAGAACTATTCCTTTATTGGGGAGGTCTTGCTAACTGCCTATGCTTTCCACCTGTTGTCTATTCCATTTGCACAACAGCATGTGAAATTGATTGTCAATCAGTGTTGCTACCTAAGTGGACAGTTTGATTTCACAGAAGTGTGATTGACTTGGAGTTACATTGTGTTGTTTAAGTGTTCCCTTTATTTTTTTGAGCAGTGTATTTTATTGTGGCTATGGCTGGACAAAAGAACTTTTCTGTTCTTACTGTTAAAGTGTGATGTATGTCTCCTCTTCCAGAAAATGATGTCTGTAGGCATGTGAAAATGTGTGGGCTGTTTCTGATATAAGACATGGGCAATCTCTTGGGAGTCACAATGGAATCTAAATGTTTGCAGTGACATTCTACTAGTAGGTTTATGTGGAGGCTGAAAGAATTTCCCAAAATGAGTAGGTTATTATATATTCCACCTCCAGTTTGGTGCACAGGATGAAAGGTCACAGTCACCCAGAGTCAGATTTACACCAAAGATGTTCAAATGTAGTAGAGAGATTACCAAGTTAGTAAGATTTTTGCAATCTTGTTTTACTTTGGGATCTCTTATTATCATTAATTGGATACTGCTATCATGTATTGTGGGTCATATCTTTCTAACAAATGGAAAACAACAAATAATGCAGTGTAAAAGTGATTTATATGCCTAATAGGGCTGTGCAAAATATAGAGAAAATGTCCTGCAAAATGCATTGTTGTGAGTGAAGCATCCTACAAGGATCATGTAGTCCAACTTTCCGCTTATGCAGGAAAATCAGTTAAATTATCAGTGAGAGGTGGCTATTAGCCTCCTCTTTAAAATTTTCCAGAGATGGAGACTCTACAGCTATTCCATTGTGGTGCAAATCTTACTCTCATGAAGTTCTCTACATTTTAGTGAAATTTAGGTAGCTGCAGAACTCATTCCTTCTCTACCTTGTCTCTTTGAGTTTAGTTAGTCCCCCCAGCTATTTATCAGATGAACTAATGCTGTAAAGAAGATCATATGGAGAATATAAAAATATAAAAATCAGAAGCAATATTTACATCCCCGAATTATTTATTTATTGATGCTTCTTCACCTTCAAAAAATGGTTTTTAAAAAGCTGAGTAAAAAACTTCCAAATCACAACTGGCAAAATCCAGGTTTGCAGGATATAATTTGTTTTTAAGTTGGCCTCAGGAATCTACAAGCCAAAGCAGACATGCAAAATAAAGGCACAAGCAAGAAGACATTCATTAATGTATTTATTAAATCAATGTATACAACTGCCCTTCTTGCATATGGGATGCTGGGTAATAATACATTAAAATAATATAAAAAAATCACCCCAATATCAACAAATCACAAGAAACCTCTACAGTGGTGACCAAGAGTCAACCTTATAAGACTTAACAACATAATAACACCTGATTTCACAGGCCATCTAACATTTCTGCCCTTCCTTGGAGCACATTAAGGTGTTCAATGCTTTGTGAATGGCTGGGAGGGTTGGAGCCAATCTAATCTTGGCACAGGGTGGGGTGGGAGATATGGAGTTCAAAGGGCAGGTACTGTGTCAAAATGGCCTGCTTCCTGCACCCCATTTGGTGGCCTTGTTTAATTGAGAGGACTCAGTGCATGCTTTGACTTTCAGATCGTACAGGAAAGGTAGAAACAACCAGCGAAAGGGGTGGGGGGTGTTCTGCAAATAGCCCTATCTATCCCCTGACATGAGTTATAACTTATTTGTAAATTAAGGAACACAAACTGTCCTGAATACATTTGTCCCCGCCTGGACAAATCCTTGCAGATTTCTTGCCAAGGTTTTCAAGGAGTGGTTTGCCATTACCTCTGTCCTAGAGTTGAAAGAAAGTGACCAGCTCAAGATCTGTACCCAAGGCTGGACTACAACATACAGTCTCCCAGGATCTAGCCCAATGCCTGAACTACTACACCAGCATTAGCTCTCTGTCAATCTATCACAAAATACCTAGACATTATCAGTGGGATTCAATCTATCTTTTGGGCATTCCTGAACATAATTTCGTTGGATCAGGCAAATAACTTACGGAGTGTATAAACTGTCATTTACACTTAAATATTCAAATCTCAAAATTCACAGGGTTGTTCATTTCTGTGAATATAAATTTACTCAATATAAGCACCAGCTGAACTGTTGCTTCATCCAGAGAGCTGAACAATTAGCATTTACAGAGAAACTGTCAGCCTTCAAGATCTTCCTCCTTTCCTTTGCTTCTTTCTGGCTGCCATGAGTAAGGGGGTGGGGGTGGAAAGTGTTGAAAGTGTTAATAACTGATATTGTTTAAACTGGGGAGGGTTTCTCATTCCTGCTTGGCTTTCTCTTCTCTGCACAATTGCAAACCTTTATCTGAGTAAGCCAAGGTCAACTAATCATCACCACCTGGAGATATCCACATGCTGAACTTCACAACTTTTAATTGGAAGAACCGTTTGAACTATTGGGGGTGGGAACATTTCACTCCCCTGATATATGTGATGTACGTGCCTATTTCCCCAGATTCAGAATTTTCTCGTCGCTACCACTAACTTCCAGTAAAAGATATCTTTTCTCTAATTACAAGAGTCTAAGTATTTCTTTCTTGGATTTTGAACGGAGCACCAGCTGACAGGAACCTAGATTTTATTTTCCTCAAACATTCTAATTTTGTTCTACTCATAGAAAGCTGCAGGGATCCATTGAGACAGCAGAATATTTCAACTGAAGTGCATTTATAGCACAATTTTGCAACTTGTGGTTGGGAGACAAGCACAAGAGGAAGCTAGTATTACAATCAACCACAAGGTGGTAGCACATCTTAGATCTAAGCAACTTACAGAAACGTATTTGAAAAACAGTTTATTTCTGTTGCATATTTTCCTTTCACCAGTCCAACTGACCCTGAAATTCATGGGCTGGGGGAGGGGGTTTTCTTCATGCACTGTGGTTTAAATCTCACTTGCACTTTTCCTTGCAATTCCAGCTGAAAGATTTTTCCCAGGTGAGGAATATATTACATGAAGAAAATGCATCTAGACCAACATATAAAAGCAGGAGATTTATTCATTTAAGAACCTTATTTTGTCAGTGAAAAACAAAAGCCAAAAAGAAAAAGAAACATTTTTTTTCTAGACCAACACATAAAAGCAAGATATTTATTCGTTCACTTTAAGAACTTTATTTTGGCAGTGAAAAACAAAAGGGAAAAAGAAAAAAAACAACTGGAAAAGAAAGTAAGAAGCAAGGATCTCAAGTTAGAAAAAGATATAAAAATCAAGGACCACTTTGACAGAAAATATTTTGCAAAACTGCCGTTTCTTCTTGGAAGTAGTTTCTTCTCTGGAAAACAGAGAAAAAAGGAAAACCCAAAGCCTCTCCCTGGGACATCCCAGTTCATTGCGCCATTTAGGATTTGCCACAGTTACTGACAGCCACTCCCAAGCAGCAAACAGTAGGAGGGAGGGAACTGGGAATTTCCCTGCTCCAGATTAAAGTTTATATATGAGAAACTCTATCTCTTTGATTTGATGACTCCAGTGATTTTCTCACTAAACGCACAATCTAAGTAAAGTAAGTGTTATCAGATTGGAGACTACAATCAGCAAAGGCAGTGCTGTCTCCCAACAAATGCTTAGATCTGACAGGTCACTTCCAATCCTTTCCAATCCACAGTGGTTCTGCAGTCCTTTCATGATAGTGATACCTAAAATGCAGAAGAAATCTTAAGCATCCATGGATTGATACTAGCTTATCCAGTCATAAACTGAACACAATTAAATGCTAAGCTTAAGAATGTGGGAAACAATTCTGATTTATGATAATCCTTTTCCCATCAATTAAAACTGGAAAAATATGGCCAAATTAACATCTCTTTTGTAGCTTATGTTCAAAAGAAACGAGGAGATATATGGGAACTTTCAGTCTCTAAGGAAGGGTGGCAGCCCCCCTCTTACTCAATAAGTTTAACTATAGACTCAGTCCCAAAGTTGCAAGGCATAAAGGTACCTAAGTAAAAATCTAAGAAGTTGGCACTTCCCTTTAAAATTGAGTAGAACAGAAACTGACCTTTGCTCTCACCCCGAGAACATCAATTATTCCAAGGCAAAAGTGATTAAGGCTATTTGTCCCCATGAGCCTAGTCTTCATGTTTTGTTCAGTCCCAGAAGCTGGAACAACACAACTTTCTGGTCCTGACAACTCTGGCCCACCTTCATGGGAGGCAAAATCAGAGTTAAAGGGAGACGTGGGGCAATCTGGTGTCTAGACACTGCAACTAGGGGCCTGAGCAACAGTGGAGGCTGAATTAGCTAGAGAAGAAAGCAGATTGGGCTAAGGAGTAGAAAAATTGCATTTTGCTCAGAAAAGAACACCTTCAAAAGAAATTATTTTGGTTGACACAAAGACAGAGAGCTCCTGACATGTTTCATCATAGTCTAGGCAACAGAAGAAAAGAAAAAAGTGTGAAATCTGAAATATCTATTCAAATGCAGTCTGGAACACAATTCTTAAGGAGTTTCTCCAAATTTAGATAAACCAGGGAAAGCAAGCATTGGCTCAGTCTATTCACACCTGTGTCCTTTCAAAGAGGCAACATTTCCACATTCTCATTCTCATTCATTCTCATTTAAGGTCAACATACAAAGCAGTTTTCCTTTCTTACACTGGTTCTATAGTCTCAAAAAAAAAAGTAGCTGTGGTTGTCCCAAGGCTCACATTACAACAAAGAGAATGATTCATTGGTGGCCAGCTGTGGTCACTGTCAGCCTCAAGCAGCAAAGTTATATCCCTCACAAGGTTAACTTTCCCATTTGGATGTTAGGATGTTCGGCTGGAGCACATCACAGGCTTTCCGGAGATCTTCAAGTCATCAAAAGGCAAAAGTGTAAGGATCTGACAACAAAAAGGAAATAATGATACAGTGAAGGTTGTGTACAAAAAAACCCCAGTATTGCCACTTTATCATGGAGAAAACCCATCCTTATGGTTGCTAAGAGTCGATAACGTGGCGGTGTGTAATTAATCATTACTTCAATGAGTGACAGAAACACAAAGCGCAAACAGTTTGCAAAGATTGCCAGCTATCTAGTGTGGTCAGAAAGAGCAATATACTCTATGCTTAATGCCTTCTACCCATTATGCGAGAAGATATTTTGTGATATTTTTCCTATGAAGAGCAGGATATTCAGTTAATTTACTATATATGATCCCTTTTTATGTGTTTTGGGGACTAACATGTTCATGGAAGAAAATATCTCTCAACAAATTGCCTATGTGAACACCCCAAGCTTTTCCAAACAAGCCTAGATTCATCACTATAGGTACTCAGGTAGTCCTCAACTTATGGCCACAACATAGCCTGAAAAATGTGTTGTTAATTTGGGGCAGTTATTAAGTGAGACATGACTAGGACACTAATTTGAACTCTATCCTAATATATAAAAATATTCTATTTTTTTAGATATTTTTTCATAATAATCAAGCAACTTCCTCCACATCAAGACCATGAGTTTTATTATACAAAGAAAGAATAACATTGTTCTAAGATGTCAGGAACATCAAATATTATGCATTGATATTTTTTCTTTCCGAAAGGAAACTAAGCTTTAATGTTTTATTTCCCTATACTACCTAGGAGGTGAGGTAAGTCAGGTAATATGATGGCAAATAGCTAAAGGTCACCACTGGAAGGAATCCAGCTCTCTGATATGCAATGCAGAAGTCTATCCATTCTATCATAGAAGACACCAGAATGGTGCTGGTCTCTGCATTGGTTGGAATTCACAGCAGGAATCTGCATATGTAGGCTAAGGGAGCCCAATGGCCTTTGATTTCCATTTCTATCAATTGCCTATATATTAATAATGAAGACAAACCCTGTTCAGTTTCAGAGTAAAATCAGGTACTCATTTTGCCCTACATGGAGCTCTGGTTTGTTTAGATCCTTATCTTCCTGGTGTAGGAAAGACATCAGTTATCATCCTGATACATTGCAGCATAATTGATGGAAGTCTGCCTATCCTGCCTTATGTAGCTGCTTGGAATTAAAAGATGTTGCAGTGATGCCAAGGCATTAGCAACCCCAAGGCAGACTAGCCAGTTTAGCAGCTCCTCCCTGCACGTAGCCTGTAAGATTAAGATCAGATGGATGTGAACTGCAATTTGGCAAATCAAAGTTACAAAGAACATCATGGAAACGGAGACAAGTGCTGTTGCCAGAACCCCCAATCCTTGCGTTTTTGCTGAGCATCATGTGCTAAACTTTAAGAATTACACAATACAACTTGTATCTCTATCTTACTTTGAGATTGGGAGTAGGAAACCTACAGCTAAGTAGCTTCCCAGCACCCTGGGAGTGTGCAGATGAAATTCAGGGGCAAAATGGCCACATTCTAAAAGTGAGAGGTTTCGCAATTAACAATGGGACTGAGAACCTTCTAAGAAGAATACTGCTTCAATTTCCTTTCTGAAAACTATTCAAATCCAAGTCAAAATTTACATTTTTTAAATCTATTTTTTGGCCTTGGGGTTGGTGTTTAGTGTGTGGGAATGGAAAGCCTCTCAGAGTTAGGTGGCGCTAGCCCCTACTTTTAAACTCTTTAGTTTCCAAATTACATTCTAAAAAAATGACCAGTTCCCTTTCCAAATTTTAACATCCATTTCAATAGGCTAAGTATTTAAATACTCCATGTCGTGTTGACACCGGATGGCTTCTTGCCTACTGGAAAATGGATAGCCAGCTTCCAGACTCTCATAAGGATGCCAACCCTTATTCAGCACCTGAATCGGATTACTTTGCTCTTGCCTCGAGAGCCTGATCTATTGCAAGACATTCCAGAAAAATTCTCACATCATCATTGCCATCTGCCAGATCTTGAGCTGTCTCATTTTCCATATTCCGCAATAAGGTATCTGCTCCCGAATGGCAGAGGATTGCAGCAATGGCAGCATTGTTCCTGCCCACAGCCAGGTGTAGTGGGGTGCAGCCATTGTACATCTGCGAATCCACCTGGGCTCCCAATCGCAGGAGGTGCCTCACAGCCATCTCATCATGATTTTCCACTGCCAGATGGAGGGGTGTTTTTCCACTTGTGCCATCCTGAGGGAGCAAGTGACAGAGTCAGTTATTTCACGAGATCGAATGAGCAAAATTCCATAGAATGTACCTCTCTGGGTAGATACAGTAGGAAACCTAGATTTCCTACTGCAAAAGCCTGCCTGAGTAAAAAAGACCACAGTGAAAGCCAGTTCCAAATAAAAATAAGAGAACGAGGAAGTTCTTTTCTGGGCCATAGTGCACCTGAAAGATTCAAACAAAATAAGAGAAAGAGAAAGTTCCTTTCTGGACCATGATGTACCTGAGATTCAAGCCGATTGTTCAAACCTAGAAGAGCCTAGGATAGGGATCAGGGGTGGGATTCAAAATTTTAACAACTGGTTCTATGGGCGTGGCTTAGGTGGTGGGCGTGGCTTGGTGGTCATGTGACTGGGTGGACATGGCTTGGTGGTCATGTTATTGGTTGGATGTGGCCAACTCAATATCACTCAAATCGAGGCACGCATCCCCTTGCATCCCCTTGCCTGGCCTTTCAAGACTGTGAGAATGCTGGAACAGTTGTAAGTGTGAAAAATGGTCCTAAGTCACTTTTTTCAGTGCCATTGTAACTTTGAATGGTCACTCCACACAAGCAAAGTATCAGCAAAGAAAGGGAAAAAAAACTCCAGAGAAATTCCTGTGACAGGAAGTCTAATCCTGCCAAGAATGTAATAAGGGTTAAGAGAGAGGCAGTTTCTGTAAGCAACACCAGAATGTTTCCTTCCTGCCTTCCTTACAGGATTAGGCCAGTAATTGCTTCTAACAACTGGTTCTCCGAACTGCTTAGAATGTTAACAACCGGTTCTAGCGAATAGGTGCGAACTGGTAGAATCCCACCCCTGATAGGGATCACACAGGCATAGCAGTTCCTAACTCACAGTCTGAGCATTCTCTTCCTGAAGATGCAAAAACTGAACTAGGAGCTCAGAAGTAATCATAGAGAAAATTGTAACAAATAATGGAATATGTTTATTAAATATATTGAAATATTTTAAATATACTGAAATAAATGAAATGATATAGGAGGAGAGCTGAAATGGAAATTGCGGTTTAGGAATAAATGAGTAGATTAATATGTCCTTTTTTCTGAAATTGTAGATAAACCTTATGAAATTAAAAAGGGGAAACCATGCAGGATCTGATTTATGTGTTATATAGTTTTAAAAGGGATTATTAATTTTAATGTTTTAGGTAATAAAATGTTAAACATTTAATGGGATTTAAAGGGGGAGATAATTAATGAATATTTAACTTAGAGGTGGCACACTTAAACTGATATTTTAGGGGGGAAACCAATTTATAGGAGTGTTATTAATCAGAATTTAAGAGGAATATAAAAATGTGACAGTTAAAAGTACTAAAGTATAATAATTATGAAGTTAATATATGTGAATTAATGAAATAAGCATTTGGAATAATATAATAAAATAGAAAATGTATAAAAGCATTGTTAAGGTAAGAAATTGAATACAAAAATTGAATATGTAATTATGGTCATATTTGTATGTATATGTGAAACCTGTAATCATGCTGTTCACTAAAAAGATGTTAAAATGTGGAAAACTGAATAAAACTTGTTTTTTTAAAAAGAAGTAATTGGGGTTGTATATAAATTCTGAAATGGTCATGACTCCTTGGAATTGATATTGATTCCTGGGAACTACAATCATGTGGATCTCATTTGGTTAGTAGCAATGCAGAACTGATTTTTTTAAAAAATTGCTTTATTCCAGGATGTTTATTTTGTTGTTGATTTGTTTGTTTGTTTCCCAGTCATTTCCACAGTGAGCCAACCTCCCATCCTGGTCTGACCCTATTTAGCTTTCTAAAATCAATCTTCTGTTGATGGCACATAATCACTAACTAAATTCAAATTTCATTCTAAAGGTTTTATCCTATAAGTTTAAAAGTTATCCTGTTTCATTTGCACATAGGAAAAAAAGAGAAGATGGGCAAAGTTACTGCTCATTTTTTCCCCTTTTGTTCAGTTGTGTCCAATTCGCAGAGTCCCCTGGATAAGTTCCTGAAATTTAATTGACAAGGAATTTCAAAAATGGTTTGCCATTGCCTCCTTCCCAGGGCTGAGAGAAAGTGACTAAAAACTCATGGTTTCCTCCTAGTTTCTTAGCCTGATACCTTAACCACCATATCAAACTGGCTCTCACGTAGCTAAGTTAGCTTTCCTGTATCCCCTCTAACCCGCTTTTGGAAATTTTGGAGTAGCGCTCCCTATATTTTTAGCATTAGACTTAGCCATTCCAATACTGTCAAGCACCTGGGAAATCCAGAGATTCAGGCAGTTCAAATGAATATAAAGATTTATTGCAAGCTTAAATTATCTACAAGAATCCGATCAACTAATAGTCAAGGGAAACGAGTAGGAAATAAGAAAGGTGGGCTGGACTTAGATCGCTTGGGGGGTACATAGGGACTCGTGACCTATGACACGTTTGACGTGTCAGGTTCAACCCTGTCATCTCCTACATCTACTTCGTATAAAGCCACTTTTTATATTCTGCAGCATTCCAAATTTTCTGCTCAGTAATAAATTTTTTCAGAATTGACATACAGTATATCAGAGATGGAGCTCTGTTAGATCTCTCTAACTTACCTGTATATTAATGTCAGCTCCATTCTGCACCAGCAATGCCATCAGTTGAAGGTTTCCTTTCAAGGTGCTGATGTGAAGACATGTTAAGCCTAGAGGGAGAAAAATAAAACCCCAATAGCTCAGGAAATCTTCTTACAAGTGAAGCATTTAAGTCCTGACTTTTAACACTCATCAGACCCAATGGGATCACTCCACACTCTTGTTTACCTTGCCAATTCTGGAGCTGCAGATCTTGTAGAGTTTTTCTAGTCTTCATCTCAGAGATTGGTTTCTTCAGAGGCAGCAACAGCTTAACACATTCCAGACTCTGCTGTTCACAGGCCAAGTGCAGAGCAGTATTTCCATTGCGGTCCTGCAGTGCAGTGTTCACCCCTTTCAGAATTAATGCTTTCACCACTTCGAATTGCTCCAAATACACAGACAAGTGAAGTGGAGTCTGCAAATAGCAAAAAAAAAAAAAAAGAAAAGGAATGTAGGCTGGAGCAGAGTGGAGAGGCAAGGCAGGTATGCAAATAAATTTAACAAACAAACTTGGATTCACTTGGATTTTAACTGCCTCACAAGAAATATGAAATTCAGCAGTGATGCATCCTAAAAATAAGGAAGGAGAGCAAGTGGACAATGCCTAGGCCAGAGATGTCAAACTCCCAGCCCATGGACCGGATGTGTCAAATGCTGGCCACACCCACACCTGGTTTAGCGAAGGAGGCTATGTCATGCTGCCATGACAACATGAGTTTGACACCCCTGGCCTAGACAATCCTCTAGATCTAAATCCTCTAAATCTTTAATAGATTATCTAGTGATTAGAAAAAGTCCATGCTCATAATTTCTTTATTCCTTCCTGTGACTAGCAAAAGACAGAAAAATCTATTCAGAATAAGACTCTTTTAAATATCCAAATAAGCTGATAGATTTAAACAAAATCACAACAAAAACAACAACAATTATCTACTGTAATATAAGGAAAAGAAAGACACTGGTGATCAAGATTAAGCGCCAGGGATCTAAAGCAGAATTTCTTTATCATTTTTGGTTCTGTTTTCATATGAAATTATTCTACATTGATATGCTATGTAATTGTCAACAGAGAAATTACCAGACACCTGAGATTTGTAAAGTTATTTTTATGCTATTTAAAGAAACTCAGAATCTCTATATTTATAATGTATACTCAGATTATTTAATAGTTGCTAAAATAAATATATTTGTATAATACTAGAAATCAGTATAAGCAATTTATAGAGGGATTAATGAAGGAAATGATGAGATTTAGCACTGGTTTTACAATTTATTTATTTATCCAGTGGTCAGCGTCGCTCAGATAATAATGATCATTTAAAAAAAACAGGTTATTAACTAAGAAATCATAAAATTCCGATTACGACACAGCCACATGTTTTTGCTACTTTAGATATTCAATTTTAAGAAGAAAAATGAGGCAAAAAATAAGGAGCTAGTGCCAGCTTAGATAATATAATTTAAATAATTTGGAGTATCTTAGTGAAAACATTTATTAATTGGCTTAAATTTCAGAAGGTACACAATCCTTGAGGAAAATGAAGGGCCTATACAAACTTTTAATTCTGTCTTACATTGGTGTTTACGGGGGAGGGGGTATTGTTATATACTTTACTGATGCAGATGAATCTGTATATTTTGTTAATTGGTTGATTATGTGCCGTCAATACTTTTTTTTGGAGTCCTATAAACCAGTATTCTCATCCCAATACTTATCTGGATTTTTAATTAGATCTGACTTTTGATCCTGTAGTCGTGCTTGAAGATACATAAGTTGTTGTGTTGTTTATTTATTTACTTATTTTCACCCCACCCCCCAATGATTTTGGGTGGCTTACAATTAAAAAAAATATGCTACACTCAAAATACTAAAAACATTTTAAAACAATAGAAACAGAATGTTTTTGTACGTGAAGGAGATCATTAGCTTCTTGGCATAAGAAATAGTACAACAAAATTTCCAAGAATGTTACAGTGAAGCAGAATAGATCTTTCTGTTTAAATTGCTTTTAGAGTATAGACAAAAATATTTAATTATCATCAAGAGCACTTTAACTTTAGATTATTACCACATTGCAACTTGCTCTCCTCCAGTTAGAATAGCAGAAACCCTGATCCTTCTTTACGTCTCTTACCACCTACTTGGAACAAATCATTCTGGAATTCCAGAACCTCCACGGGCATTTGGGCAATGCAGCAGAATGCGATAGATGGCATACAGTGGATGATTGCCAGGTGCAGTAACCTGAGAGGGAAAAAGATTAGTCATGCCAACCTGTAAAAATAAAGAATGACTTCCCTTCAAGCAAAGAAAACACTCCTATGTAGCAAAGCCACAGTTACTGTTCATGCTTAGCTCTTAGGCTTGCTTATTGGAAAACTGAGTCAGACTTATGCATCTGTAGCATAACAATTTCCATGTTACACCATTTCACAAGCCGAGATATAATTTACACAGCAAAAAAATTTACTATTTTTTCTGGTGAGCACTAAGAAGAAGAGACACCTCTAAATGCATATTATTAATCCATCAAAAAGTGAGGCACTCATTCTCAACAATTGTTCCACCAACCTAATTGAAATTGCCATAAAGTGAATGCAGGGCTATCGATATTCAAACCTAAAATGCAAGCCAAATATATTGCTTTTAAAATGCAAGCCAAATATTTTGCTTTTAAAGCACACAAAGATAAAGAAGGCGGGTTGGGCGAGAACCTCCTGATTCAAAGATAGGCAGCAAAATTAAGTAATGCCATGCAGCTAGGTTCCCTTATGTTCTTTCAACTAAATATCAATCAGTCTGATCTAAGAGAGAATTTCATTTCAAAGGAGGAAAAAATTTTTAGTGAAAGTTCCATCACTGAAGATTGGTATTCTTGCATTTATGGAGTAACAGCATGGCTAAGGAGTATTTTTAAATTTCTGGTTTTTCACAATAAATCGTCTTTAACGGTAGCTGTAGCTTTTCTGATTACTGTTTAGTAATTACATTTTAACAGAAAAATATCACGATGAATGGTCTTTTCTTCAGATTGGGAAGCAGCCAACCAGGAAACTTCAGAGTAAGGAAAGAGGTGTAATAGAAACCGGTGCAGGTGGGCCAATGCTGCAGAGACAGGGTGATTTCCTATGTATTATTCCAAGCATCCTCCCACCTCTTGGTGCAGACAGACCAATGGAGGTAAAAAATTGAGCATTTCCATTGGACCCACCCACCCACCCACCAGCCTCCTTTTGCTAGCATGTGCCAGACAGGCTCGGCAGGCAGTCGCAATCTTTAGATGGGCTTTTATTTTGTCATCCCAAGAGGTGGGGGAAGGGGCTCAGAGTGGTATGTAGGAAATCACTGTCTTGGCAGCATCCATTGTTTGCCAGTGGGCAGGCAATGAGGCGGCGGCAGTGCAAGCAAGCAGGCTGGGTCGCAGGCACTACATGGGAGGCAGCAGGGAAGGCAAGCAGACTGGGCCACTGGGACCGTGGGGAAGACAGGCAAGCAGGCTGGGCCACAGGGCCACGTGGGAGCAAGCTGGGCGAGAAGCAAATAAAGATCACCAGGCAGAGATCAACTGAGCTGCGTGGTTGAGGCAAGTGAGGGAACCAGAGAGCTATGCTGCAGGCATGACTCTAGGCGAGAGGCCCAGGTGAGCAAGTTGAGATAAGGAGTGACTGGAAGGGGCTGGCAGGGTGGGCGGGGCAACCCACTGCTGCGATGAGCCAGTCTCCAAACTGTGCAAAAATTTAACAATCAGTTCGCGTGACCTGGTCCGAACCGGCTGAATATCACCACTGGTACAGAGTGTCCCTAGATATAGATGCTTCGTTTTGTTATCTAGAGATTGCATTTCGGAACGAAAGCTGGTTACTGTGCTCCTCTAAACTGCCTTCCCCACCTTCTTATATCGTAGAGAGACTTCTTGGGCTGCCCTGGAAGCAGGCACCATTTTGGAATAGACTAATTATTAGACTAATTAGACCAATCCTTTATGGGGGATTGAGCAGGATGTGTGGAACCCATCAGGCAAGAAAGCATATTGTAATTGTGTGATTTAAGTGCAAATATATACATATACACACATAAAAACAACTTTGATTTATATATATATATTTATATATATATAATTTTCATTTTATATACATACTTTACCATTAAAAGCCAATTTAGTTAATTTTCTTAGCTTATAACAATAGTCATTATAATAATTGTAGATATTAAATGCTAATATCCTTTTTTAAAACATGCTTTTCCAATATTTAACATGCAACTGAACTCGTGAAAATTCAGTTGAATCCTGTATATACAATATGTAACCCCAGCCACAATTTGAGAAAGTTGCTATTAAAAGAATAAAAAACACGAACACCTGCAGATAGATATTTGAATAAGAAAATGAAAAGCAAATAGGGATGCACATTGTACAAGACTTGTACAAGATTCAGAAGAACCTACTATGGCTAATAAATCTATGCGGTATCTAGTATTTTTAGTTTTTTGAAACTGAATATTTAGCTGCCAGCAGAAGAAATAATAAATGACTACAACTGAAACAGAGCTAAATTACTGCCTAATCAGATATTCTAGAGGGAGGGGGGAAAACTTTGTAATCTTTTTAGTATAGAAGTTATAACAAATATTACCTAAAGTGGGTAAATAACCACAAATATATTTTTTTTAAACATTATTTTTAGAAATTACAATTGTTTCCTATCTTCAGAATTTCAGAATCAATGCAAGATGCAATATTAGCATACTGTATGTCATCTTTAAAAAAAAAACTAATATTAATTTGGTTCATATAACATTTTCTCCCGGAAGTTAACCAACTTTACAAAGATCACAATGCACTTGCAAGCGGATATTTAAAATCAAAGATTCGTTTTTACTCTGCGTTTTTAGGTTCTTTGGTGTCCAAGCCACCTAAAAAAAGGGGGGATTTCCATAGAAGCCAGGGGAAGGAGCTGAATGGCTTTATTTGCAGTTGCTGGAAAGAAGAAGGAAAAGAGAAAGGAAATAGGGTCAAGCCCCACAAGCAGTCCCCTGTGTAACCATATTACGGGCTTTTTTCCTTTCTTTCTTTTTAAGCTGTGCACAAAAGCATGAATGCTCTGCTCCATAAATAGAGTGACTGCAGTTCAGGCAACCAGCCTGGGGGAAGCCCAAAGTCACCTGGTGTGGGGAATTTCCTTGCCCACACAGTTGCCTCAGCAACAGGATGGGGAGGGAAGGAGGCCAAAAAGCAGCCAATGCACAGCTGCTTTTTCCAGCCGACACAAATTGCTGGGGGAAGAGACAGGTTATCTTGCTCTGTCAGTGGCATCTACTTTGGCGGTGCTGAGGTTTTACAAGACTGCATTGAAAAATTAACCCTCCCTTTGTAGACAAAGGTGTTTTTTTCTATTACATAGCTACTGTCTTTTGACCTAGAAGCTTGTGGTGTTTGCCACACAGCTTCACATGTCTCTAGGACAGCCTCTCTGGGGTTAAAGGCATAAAAACAAGAACAAGGTTTGTTTTTTTAAAGTGATAGTTGGCAATTCCAATTATTCTGCCAATGTAGCAATAGCACTTAGACTTGTATACCACTTTATAGTGCTTTACAGCCCTCTCTAAGTGGTTTACAGAGTTAGCATCTTGCCCCCAACAATTTGGGTCCTCAATTTACCCACCTCAGAAGGATGTGGGAGGCTTGAGCCTTGTGGGATTTGAACAGCCAAATCATAGGCAGCTGGCTGCAGAAGTAGCTTGCAGTACTGCACTCTAACCACTGCACCACAGAGGCTCCTTATATGTAAGGACTGGTCTGCCAGTCCCCTAAGTCAGTGGCCCCCAACCTTTTTTGTGCCACGGCCCGGTACCAGCATCACAAAATGATCCGTGGCCCGGTACCGGCATCAGCACGCATGACAAGGCAAGGCGAGCCGAGCGACCGGCCAGCCAGCCGTCCCCCGCTTCTCCCCACCACCTTCAACTCCTCCTTTGTACCTTTTTTGTGCTTTTTTGTGCTTTCTTAATCTCCTCCGCCATCAGGACAGCTCTTCGTTTGAAGCCACCCTCCCCTTTGATGAAACTAAGGCGCGAGGATTCCTTCAGGACCCAAATGCCGCTTTCCAACTGGAAAAGCTCACCCAGAAGCACTTTCTCGCCAAACAAGATGGCGGCGCCCAGCAAACCAGTGGCCCGGTAGAAAATGATCCACGGACCGGTACCGGTCTGGGGCCCGGTGGTTGGGGACCCCTGCCCTAAGTGATCTTCTCAGGTGCATGTAAAGCAGTACCTGCAGATGATCAATGGAAAACTAGTTAAGAAAATTAAAAAAAAAACAGGGAAGGGAAGCTTCTGTGGATTGTTTTTCTAGGTAAATTCCACTTCAATCTGGAGTTTTCCAGGTGGATAATAATTCCCAGAATTCCCTGCCAGCATTCCTCTCTCCTATGGTAATTGTAGTCTAACATACTTGAAGGAATCTGATCTGGATCTGATCTGGGCTCTTCCTGACCATTATTGCTCTGTTCAAGTCATCACCTGCTATACAGACATAGAGCCCAACACTCCCACCCAGAGAAGTCCTTGGTTTTAACAACTTCCCAGATTAGCTTTAAGGTTAATTTACTACATAATAAGAATATTTAACACAACTGCACTCTACTATGTCATCATTTGAACACTTGGAAGAAAAGGGAAAGAAAAGAAAAAAGTCCACCCTTATACTTTGTGTGACTAGCAATGGAACAAGTAGCCATTTACAAGCTTGGCTGAAAGAAATTGCCCCCCCCCCCAAAAAAAACCACACATTTTTAAAACCACAGCTCAGCTTCACCCACATATACTATCTGCAAGTTTTGAAACTGCTTTCCAGATCAGCAAGCCCTTTACGTGAACAACTTCTCAAACATGCTACATACACCTGGATAACACCTGAAATAAATATAGCAAGTGGCACACAAGTTAAATATATAGACTGGTTTTTTTCCTAATCTGTTGTTTATCTGAAAAGCAGGGTGACATGCAGCATAGACTGAGGGATATGGTTACAACATCACACTAATACTTTTATCATTGTTATTCATTGCAGAAGCAGGAAAGGGGTAGAAATCACACCGGAAACAGGAAGGCAATGGTTGAAATAAAGTTGCTCTAACTGGGAAGACAAGGCTCAAATCCTTTCTTGGTTATAAAGTCTCCTGGTGATCTGAGTCTGATCAATCATTCTCTCAACTTAGTAGACTTCACCAAAGAATTGTAGGGCT